CCGGGTGGAACGAGCGGGCCCTGATCGACCATTTCCGGTGCCACCTAAGGGAGGACGTCCGACGGGAGCTAGCCTGCCGTGATGCCATGCTATCGTTCTCCCAACTGGTGGACATGGCCATCCGGCTGGACAATCTGCTAGCAGCCAGAGGATGTCCTGGTAGGGGTCTGCCCGTTCCCACTCCGGACGACTCTGACCCCGAGCAGATGGAGCTGGGGGTAGCCGTCGGTTGAGAGAGCGCAGGAGGACAGCGACAGTGCCACTCTGGTGGCACGAAGGGACTATCCACCTCACGTCGCAGTCAACGTTCCTTTGGGTCTGGAGGCGGTAGGCAGGGTACTCACGCATCACCCCAGGTGCACTGTACCTTATCTATCTCCTTTCCCGATCACCTGGTAGTTTCCCAGTGTAAGGCGCTAGTCGATTCAGGTGCAGCTGGGAACTTTATGGACAGGGCATTTGCACGCCGTCAAGGCATTTCATTGGTTCCCCTATCCATTCCACTCCCCATCAGAGCACTTGATAGTCGACCATTAGGGTCCGGGTTGGTTAAGGAGGTTACTGTACCAGTCACCATGATTACACAGGAGACGCATGTTGAGCAGATCACTTTTTTGATTATTGAGTCTCCTACTTAGGTTTTCCGTGGTTAGCCCTTCACAACCCCACTTTTTCATGGCCGCAGAGGGTTCTTACGGGGTGGTTGCGTGAGTGTCCGGGTAGGTGTCTAGGTGTTTCCGTTGGTGCGACCACGGTGGAAAGTCCAGACGGTAACCCCACCGTGCGCATTCCCCCCGAATACCATGATCTGGTGCTCACGTTTTCCACGACGCAAGCGACTAAATTACCACCTCTTCGGGTAGACGCTGTACCTCCCAGGAGTCATGTGTATCCCCTGTCGCAGGCTGAGACGGAGGCTATGGAAACATACGTCACCGAGTCCCTGCAGCAGGAGTATATAAGTCCCTCCATTTCACCTGCTTCCTCGAGTTTCTTCTTTGTGAAGAAGAAAGATGGCGGTTTACGCCCGTACATTGATTATCAACCACTGAATAAGGTGACGGTACGATTTAGTTATCCTCTTCCCCTCATTCCTTCAGTGATTGAGTCAATGCATGGGGCCCGTTTTTTCACCAAATTAGACCTCAGGAGTGCCTACAACCTGGTGCGTATTCTGGAAGGGGATGAGTGGAAAACAGCATTCAGCACAACATCGGGGCATTATGAATACCTGGTGATGCCCTACGGTTTGATGAATGCTCCATCCGTTTTCCAGTCCTTTGTGTTTCGGGACATGCTTGGTCGCGGTGTGGTGGTCTACATCGATGACATCCTGGTGTATTCCTCTACGCGCGCCGAGCATGTGTCCCTGGTTTGCAAGGTACTGGTCCAACTGCTGGAAAATGATCTTTATGCCAAGGCAGAGAAGTGTGAGTTTTTCCAGCAGACAATCTCCTTCCTCGGATACCGCATTACTACCACAGGTGTGGAGATGGAGGGAGATCGCATTTCAGCCGTGCGTAATTGGCCGACTCCTACCATGGTGAAGGAGGTGCAGCGCTTCCTTGGCTTTGCCAACTACTATCGGAGGATTATTCGGAGCTTTGGCAAGGTCGCAGTTCCCATTACCTCCTTGTTGAAGGATGCGCCGTCCCGGCTCCGCTGGTCTGCTGAGGCTGATTTGGCCTTCAGTAGATTGCGGGGTCTGTTCACCTCCGCCCCGGTACTGGCTCACCCAGATCCATCACTACCGTTCGTAGTGGAGGTGGATGCGTCCGAGGTAGGGATAGGCGCTGTCTTAACCCAACGCTCGGGCACGCCACCCAAGCTCCGCCCCTGTGCCTTCTTTTCGAAGAAGCTCAGCTCGGCGGAGCAGAACCACGGCGTTGGTGATAGGGAGCTGCTGGCTGTTATCCGAGCTTTGACGGTGTGGAGGCATTGGCTCTAAGGGGCGAAACACCCTTTCCTCGTCTGGACAGACCACCGTAACCTACATTCGGGCAGCGAGGAGGCTGAATCCTCGCCAGGCCAGGTGGGCCCTCTTCTTCACCCGGTTTGATTTCACACTCTCATACATTCCGGGTACGAAGAACGTGAAGGCAGATGCACTGTCTCGGCTGTATGACACAGAGGAGAGGCCCAGAGACAACAACCCCATACTCCTGGCCTCATGCATTGTGGCGCCGGTAGTATGGGCGATGGACGCGGATATAGTGCAGGCATTATGCACAGATCCATCTCCACCGCAGTGTCCAGCTTGGCTGCAGTACGTGCCTGCGCTTATCCGTGATCGTCTGATCTACTGGGCACACACGTCACCCTCCTCTGGTCATCCAGGTATCGGTCGTACAATGCACTGCCTGACTGAGAAGTACTGGTGGCCAACCTTGGCTAAGGATGTGAGGGTGTATGTTTCCTCCTGCTCAGTGTGCACCCAGAGTAAGGCACCTAGGTACCTCCCAGCGGGTAAGCTACAACCTTTACCAGTTCCACAACGACCATGGTCTCACCTTAGTATTGATTTTCTTACTGATCTTCCCCTCTCCCGAGGTAACACCACTATCCTGGTTGTTGTGGATCGCTTTTCGAAGTCCTGCCGCCTCCTTCCTCTGCCCGGTCTCCCCACGGCCCTACAAACTGCAGAGGCTCTGTTTACTCATGTCTTCCGGCACTACGGGTTACCAGAGGATATAGTGTCCGACCGAGGTCCCCAGTTCACGTCTAGAGTCTGGAAGGCGTTCATGGAACATCTGGGGGTCTTGGTCAGCCTGACCTCTGGATTTCACCCCGAGAGTAATGGGCAGGTGGAAAGGGTGACTCAAGATGTAGGTAGGTTCCTGCGGACCTACTGTCCGGACCGGCCGGGGGAGTGGTCGGTGTTCCTGCCATGGGCAGAATACGCTCAGAACTCTCTCCGCCACTCCTCCACTAACCTAACACCCTTCCAATGTGTTTTGGGTTACCAACCGGTCCTGGCACCGTGGCACTGGAGCCAGACTGAGGCTCCTGCGGTGGATGGCTGGTTTCGGCGCGCAGAGGAGACTTGGGACGCTTCCCACGTTGACCGCCACTGCAGGGAGTCTGAGGTGCGAGAGGTTCCTCCAACTCCTCTGGACATCGAGGGGGCCCCGGCGTACTCGGTCCGTTCCATACTGGATTTGAGGCGTCGGGTGGGGGGCCTTCAGTATCTCGTGGAGTGGGAGGGGTACGATCCGGAGGAACGGTGCTGGGTCCCAAGGAGGGACATCCTCGATCCCTCCCTGTTGAGGGATTTCCACCGTCGCCATCCGACTCGCCCTGCTCCGCGTCCTCCTGGCTGTCCCCGAGGCCGGGGTCGGCGCACTGCTGGAGCCGCGCGTCAAGGGGGGGTTACTGTCACGACTTCCGCCGAGGCTGCCTCCCCTCCTTGTTCGGGCAGGTTTCGGCGTTCGTCGTCTCCGGCTTACTAGCTACTGCCGACCCCATTCTCATCACTCCACTTGTCATGTCTTGTCTTGTCAATCACACACACCTGGTGCTCATTCCCCTAATTAGTATGTGTATAAGTGTTCCCTCTGTTCCCCTTGTCTTTGTGAGTGATTGTTTCTTTGTGAGAGCGAGTAGCTCGGTCCATTTGTTATTGCCAAGGTGGTAATTCCAGGTTGTAAGGCAACAAAATAGGAAAAATGCCAAGGGGGGTGAATACTTTCGCAAGCCACTGTATAAGAAAATAAAAGTATGTATTCTTTAAATGTATGTAGTTCTTTACCTGTCTTTTAATGCTATGTATTATGTCATTTTATGTAGCTCTGTGCTTCAGCTGTAATTGTCTATTAATGTTCTGTATTATGTCATGTTTTGTGTTTTGTGTGGACCCCAGGAAGAGTAACTGCAGCTTTGGCTGTAGCTAATGGGGATCCTAATAAAATATAAAAAATAATAAACGTGCCTTTACTGAGAGAATCCTTAGGCACTATGTCTTTCTCACTGGGTTTTACAGGTAAAGTATGTTACTGAAAAAGACACGTTGTTGTGGGTTGTCCCTAAGCATGTGCGTCCAAGCGTATGTTTTGTTTGTAGTTTTTTACGTGTTGCGTCATGAGGTGTAGTGTCTGGGTTTAATGCATGGAGAAACACTAGTATCATAATACTGAACTTTGATTTGTTAGGTCTTTGCTCAATGAATGATTAACCTGTGTTGTTACAGGTGTGCATGATTTGAAATGCTCAACAGATGATGAAAGCTCAACTGTAGGGAAAAGATGTCCAAAATATACTTTGACCTGTTGGCTTGCTTCTACAATGCTATGCGAACATTCCTATCACACACATAATGGCTCTCCTACTGTGAACATTATGAATGTCATCTTCATCTTACAGCTCTCCACACCTGGTACATGTCAGAAAGAGAATAAGCATCAATGGACAGCCAATCAGCAAAGAGCTCTTCACCAAATACTTCTGGGAGGTGTACGCCCAGTTAGATGCTACAAAGTTATAGTACGTCTTCATAGAGAGTTGAAGAATGAACACTGACATAGCCCATCACTCTCAAAGGAACTCTCTGACCCTTCCTTGTTATGACGGTGTCACTGCACTGATCCTCAGGACTCCCATGGAGGTAGTATGCCGGCTTATTTCGGCTTCCTCACCATCCTGGTGTTCCATGTCTTCCTATAGGAGAGGGTAACATTCACATACCCTGTCACATGTACAGTTTGTTCACAAATGTACTAATGACCAAATCAATTGATAACAGTTGTAAACCATTCTGAGCAGGATCTCTCTATATAAAATATGGATTTATCTGTAGTTGAGGTTGTGATTGGAGGGGCCTATGACTGTACAAACATCATCAGGTAATTTTGCTGCATATCATAAAGGCTGTATTATCAAAGTCAAACATAAGATTGAGTAGTTACAGAATCTATATACACTTACTTTTCTTCCTGACATTTGGTGAACAGGAAGCTGTGGGTTTGTGGGATTTCACAAGTATACTAGGAGACACCATAGAGGAGATGGCCTGGCAGAAAGCAGGCATATCTAAGGTGAGAGTAATGCATGTTGTATTGTGTGAGGTCAACCTATGCACTGTGTACCTGTGGCATTATTCGTCCTATCTATAGCCTGTCTGCATGGGTTAATGTAGTTGAATGAAGTCCTATCTCTCCGCAGCCAGGGGTGCCAGCATTCACTGTGAGGCAGCCAGCTAGGCCCATGACTGTTCTACAGGACAGAGCCAAAGAGATAGGGGTGAGTCACTGGGGCTTTTTCTCCTGGCTTTGGCATAACACAAGTAGATTTGCATTGATTTTGCTATGCGTTTGTTTGAGTGCGTCCATATTTTACATGCTGAGTTGACCCCCTCTCCCCTGTCTTGTGTAGTGGGTGTGTCCAGATCTGGAGCAGTATGAAGTTGGGGCTGGCCCTCTGTTTCTGGGCCTGGCTGGACAACAGCAGAGCTACACCGCTACACCGCTACCGACAGTCTGGTGTGTGTGTGTGGATGTGTGTGCGTGTGTGTTAGATTATAACTCGCAAAGTATGACAATGTTATTCTAGCTAGTGTGGGAACGTATTTCTCAAAATAACAGTACACATTCCAATTCTGATGAGGTTCAGTGACTGTGGGCCTCTGCTTCCTTGCAGATGACCATCTCGCTACACCAGTAGTGGAGAACAGGCTGGTCTCCCAGGCAGCAGCCTTTCAGCCCAGCACCATCATGGTCAAAGGTCAATAGCATATTGTCACCCATGAAACATCCAGATAGTCCCTGCCTAACCTAATGTAGTAGACATAAAATAAAAGCCTGAGTCGGGTCACCAGATCCGGTTTTCAGGGGAAAAGGAAGATAGGAAGATGGAAAGAGACTATCCCTGAAAACTGGAGATTTACGGTTAATACCGACCCGCTGTGGGTGGTCCCTGCCTGGCCTCTAGGGGGCCCTCAGGCTTTTCTACAGTAGCGTTTATTGGTCAAACGATTGTGTAACTGTAGGAAATAGTCACATTGCACCAAACATCTGAGATTTGACGCTCACATTGATCTGATACAAAATTGTGTGAAAATTATCATCCATACATTTTACGGTAAGATTTGAGTGTGTAGTTCTTTGATAGACAGCATCTCTGAGTCGGCCTATTCACTGTGTGCCTGTGGTCAGAATACTGCTGTTCAATGCCACAGGGGAGAGGGACTCTACTGCCATGCTAAAACTCCTAGTGGTGAGTACTACAGGTCTGGGATCAGATACACAGATACTGCTGTGTGCTGCTCCACTCTGCAGCTCTGGCCAGGATCTGACTCTTGTACAGAACCCAAAGAAGCACAACACAGATCAAACACTGAAATAGACTAAATATCTCAAATCCCTTTGTTGTCCTTTGATTTGACTATGTTTGTCCCAACATCACTGAAACTATTACAGAAAACAATGCAGGTGAGTTATCTTCTCTGTCAGGGCTTCTCTGTCTGGGGTTTTAAGACAGGTTGGTGCAAAGAAATTAAAATGTACTGGAGTATAACTGCCACAACAAATATATGATTACACAAGTTGGAATATTTGTTTTCTTCGCTGTGTAGAAAAATATGCTACCACATTCATTGTCCAGCTGTGAGAAATGTCTTAGATGTGTGGGTGTGCAGTCCTTTACTCTCTTTGTGTGCTCTGCTCTTTTACAGATCAGCAGAATTTCAATATGTTGGTGGAGAACATGCTTACCCGTTGCCTGGACAACGAGAGCAGCTAGCAGAGCTTGAGTGGGACAGAGAAGCAGCAGGGATCTGAGTCAGAGCTGCTGATACAGGACAGGTTCCCCCTGCTGGCCAAGACCAGGGCACACACCCTGGTCTTCCCCTGCATCTTCAGCGCCCTCCAGTGGATCAGTCAGGGAAGGGACGCTGAGCCACAAATAGAACATCTTTGGCTGTGCTGGCTACTGCAGGCAGCCACTCTCCCAGTACAGCCCAATGTCATGGCTAAAGCAGCACCACTATGAGAGGCAGCCCACGTCTCTGGCCTGGTAGTCTACACCTGGTGGGAGGGGCTCTGAAACACCTGGCCCCCTCGCTAGCCTCCTAATGGACTATTGGCCCAGCAGTTTAGATTCTATTTGGATTACTGGTTAGTTTGGATCCGTCTGGCTGGTTTTTCTGTAGGACATTGAGATACACTCAATGTTTGACAGGTATAATATTTGAGGTGTTTACAGCTGAGGGTCTTCTTAAATAGATGTGTGCTCCTTGTCCAGTACAGCGCACTCAAAGGGAAAGGTAAAGGGGGATACCTAGGCAGCTGTACAACTCAATGCATTCAACTGAAATGTGTCTTCCGCATTTAACCCAACCCCTCTGAATCAGAGAGGTGCGGAGGGCTGCCTTAATCGACATCCACGTCTTCCGCGCCCGGGGAACAGTGGGTTAACTCAAGTTTCTCTGTCAGTGCAGAATGTTAAACTATGAAGTTATGATGTTGGCCTACTGTCAGCAAGTAATATTTCCTTCTGATAAAACTTGAAGTGTAATGATTTTCTCACAGTGATTAAATGATAATTGTGTTAGATTGTATTTTCTCCTTGAATTATTGTTTTGACTAATGTACATAATGAAAATGAATGTAACTTTTTTTTTCTAAATAGTTTATTTACAAATGTTATTAATTGTGAATAAAGACATTTGTTTTCATGTTCATTTGTACCCTAGCCTAGCACTGACTGTTCATACATACAGACTGCCACATATTCCCTGACCTTTGCCAGAGTTGCCCTGAAACAGAACAACATGCCTGTCTGTCTCTGTCTGCATGCCCCCTCAGTGAATGAATTCCCTGTAATGTCTTAGGTAAGCTTACAGACAGACACAATCTTAAAAGCTAAATGGAATGCAATATTTTGCCATTAGCTTTACCTTCAAAATATTATGAGAGGAAGTTTGCTCCAATCCCCTTATCCTGTCTGAATCCTTTCATTACTTCTGCATCTGAGGGGGGTAGCGCTATGGCCAGGCCCGGGAAAGAAAGGGTTAAAGTGGGATGTTTGTGTGGGTTCAGTTCCCCGCTAGGGGACTAGTGTCTCTCTCTCACTTAGTAGCCTCTCATCAAGATAACCACAGACAGAAGGTCATAGGAAAGGAGCTCTACAGTCGTGGTCAAAAGTTTTGAGAATGACACAAATACTAATTTTCACAAAGTCTGCTGCCTCAGTTTTGATGATGGCAATTTGCATATACTCCAGAATGTCATGAAGAGTGATCAGATGAATTGCAATTAATTGCAAAGTCCCTCTTTGCCATGAAAATGAACTTAATCCCCAAAAAACATTTCCACTGCATTTCAGCCCTGCCACAAAAGGACCAGTTGCCATCATGTCAGTGATTAGCTCGTTAACACAGGTGAGAGTGTTGATGAGGACAAAGCTGGAGATCACTCTGTCATGCTGATTGAGTTAGAATAACAGACTGGAAGCTTTAAAAGGAGGGTGGTGCTTGAAATCATTGTTCTTCCTCTGTTAACCATGGTTACCTGCAAGGAAACACATGCCGTCATCATTGCTTTGCACAAAAAGGGCTTCACAGGCAAGGATATTGCTGCTAGTAAGATTGCACCTAAATCAACCATTTATCGGATCACCAAGAACTTCAAGGCAAGAGGTTCAATTGTTGTGAAGAAGGCGTCAGTGCGCCCAAGAAACTCTAGCAAGCACCAGGACCGTCTCCTAAAGTTGATTCAGCTGCGGGATCGGGGCACCACCAGTGCAGAGCTTGCTCAGGAATGGCAGCAGGCGGGTGTGAGTGCATCTGCACGCACAGTGAGGTGAAGACTTTTGGAGGATGGCCTGGTGTCAAGAAGGGCAGCAAAGAAGCCACTTCTCTCCAGGAAAAACATCAGGGACAGACTGATATTCTGCAAAAGGTACAGGGATTGGACTGCTGAGGTCTGGGGTAAAGTCATTTTCTCTGATGAATCCCCTTTCCGATTGTTTGGGGCATCCGGAAAACACCTTGTCTGGAGAAGACAAGGTGAGTGCTACCATCAGTCCTGTGTCATCCCAACAGTAAAGCATCCTGAGACCATTCATGTGTGGGGTTGCTTCTCAGCCAAGGGAGTGGGCTCACTCACAATTTTGCCTAAGAAAAATTGCCATGAATAAAGAATGGTACCAACACATCCTCCGAGAGCAACTTCTCCCAACCATCCAAGAACAGTTTGGTGACGACCAATGCCTTTTCCAGCATGATGGAGCACCTTGCCATAAGGCAAAAGTGATAACTAAGTGGCTCGGGGAACAAAACATCAACATTTTGGGTCCATGGCCAGGAAACTCCCCAGACCTTAATCCCATTGAGAACTTGTGGTCGATCCTGAAGAGGCAGGTGGACAAACAAAAACCCACAAATTCTGACAAACTCCAAGCATTGACTATGCAAGAATGCGCTGCCATCAGTCAGGATGTGGCCCAGAAGTTAACTGACAGCATGCCAGGACCGATTGCAGAGGTCTTGAAAAGGAAGGGTCAACACTGCAAATATTGACTCTTTGCATAAACTTAATGTAATTGTCAATAAAAGCCTTTGACACTTATGGAATGCTTGTAATTATACTTCAGTATACCATAGTAACATCTGACAAAAATATCTCATAACACTGAAGCAGCGAACTTTGTGAAGACCAATACGTGTGTCATTCTCAAAACTTTTGACCACGACTGTACACTCTTAGAAAAAAAGGTGCTATCTAGAACCTAAAAACCAATATGATTAGTGGGATTTAATGAAACTGTTCTATGAATCAGTAAACATTTTCATACTGAGCTCAGAGATGTAGCCATACATCCTCTCAGGATATATTGGATATTGCTGCTAGACTGCATGTTACAGTAGATTGAAAGCCTCCGTGACAACCACATCAACATCACAATAAAGAGCAGAATATACACCAAACACACAATTAAACTAAAAAGGCGATCCAATAGGATGTTACATTGAACATATAAATTACAATACATTTAGTCAATTGGATTTTAGAGGCAAGCGAGTAATTACAAAGGTTAGTTCTGATGAGGATAGTAGTGTAGCTGGTGCCTACTGCTTTTCCCCTTCAATGGGAAACTGCAGGGATTTGGTCATGTATCTGCAGCGCCTCTGTTCTCTAAGAAGATTGTACTATTTAGAATCCGATTACAGCAGGGACTCCCAATACAGGTCCCTGACTAAAGCCCTGGGAGTGGCGGGCGGTAAGTGAACTGCAACACTGCAGTTATACTGTATCAAAGTAGGGTGTCCAATCAAAAACATATTTTGACCAATGGGTAAAATAATATATTGTGTAGATAATCCTCTAAGAAAACCAATGGTCCAAACCTAATGTCGCTATCATAATCTGTTCAAAAGTTATTGGAGTGTTTACCCTTGTAGGATGGCCTGAATTAAGGTGACTTAATCAATGGAGGCCAGAGAAAAAAAGTGGTAAAAGAAAAACAGGAAAATTGCATTGGGTCAGCTAGGCTGCAAGAATGAAGGCTAGTGGCTACCTGATAGACTCACTTTCCCATTGAACTCGTCATCTTTGTCCTCAAATCCGCTGGACATTAAACAATATAGAGGTAAGATGGATATCGATTTTGAGTCATGACGTAGTATTTTTCATATTTTAGAATACGCTTTTCATATTAATTCAAAATTCCTGTTCTTTCTCGACAAACCATTTCTGTATGGACCTCTCTTTGTGCACGGGGGCATTGTCATGCTAAAACAGGAAAGGGCCTTCCCCAAACTGTTACCACATAGTTGGAAGCACAGAATCATCTAGAATGTCATTGTATGCTGTAGCATTAAGATTTCACTTCACTGGAACTAAGGGGCCTAGACGGAACCATGAAAAACAGCCCAAGACCATTATTCCTCATCCACCAAACTTTACAGTTGGCACTATGTATTGGGGCAGGTAGTGTTCTCCTGGCATCTGCCAAACCCAGATTCATCCGTCGGACTTCCAGATGGTGAAGCGTCATTCATCACTCCAGAGAACACGTTTCCACTGCTCCAGAGTCCAATGGCGGCGAGCTTTACACCACTCCAGCCGACGCTTGGCATTGCGCATGTTGATCTTAGGCTTGTGTGCGGCTGCTCGGCCATGGAAACCCATTTCATGAAGCTCCCGCTTTGCGGCTGAGCCGTTGTTGCTCATAGACGTTTCCACTTCACAATAACAGCACTTACAGTTGCCCGGGGCAGCTCTAGCAGGGCAGAAATTTGACGACCTGACTTGTTGGAAAGGTGGCATCCTATGACGGTGCCATGTTGAGTTCTTCAGTAAGGCCATTCTACTGCCAATGTTTGTATATGGAAATTGCATGGCTGTGTGCTCGATTTTATACACCTGTCAGCAACGGGTGTGGCTGAAATAGCCAAATCCACTAATTTGAAGGGGTGTCCACATACTTTTGTATATGTAGTGTAACTGCCATTGGTCAAGCTTTTTATTTTCAAAGCCTTTTACATTTAATTCAGCTCGTGTCATGCTAATTTAGCTTTTTGCAACCCGCGGAAACAACTTTGAAGATGACGACCCCAAAATGTAAAATCCTGAAACGTTGTTACGAGAAACCAGCACCGCTATGTCAACAGAGTTCTGTGCTTGTTATGTAGTAGGTTACGACATCCAACTTTTTGGATATAATGTTAATGATATGTTAGAAAAAGACCCCACTGAACGATTCAGAACATGAATAATCATATTTGTCTCTGTAAGTGAAATGTCATAATCTGGGCAGAGTGGGTGGACACCCTAATCAGAGGCTCATTACTCTGTGAGGTGGCAGCACTGCAACTACTGATGTAATTTAGGAGATGAAAATAAGATTTGAATGTAGAGAAAACATTCTCCTTCTTCAAAGTGTAACTGCTGTGGATGTAATCAGATGAATGTGAGACAACAAAGGTAATGGTGGATTATCTGTCCAATGGGGTCTGAATGCCCTCCAGTCTTCTGCTGTTCCCGCATTCTTTGTTGTTAAAATGAAAAAGAGGAAACTATAAGCCAGTGGAGCTGGGGGTCACAAGGCATGCGGAACTCTTTGAGATGTCAAAATTGTTTAGGGTCAGGCTTGAATTTAAGTTCAGCAGCTTTTCTAAGGTTTTGCACAGAGGGTGTCTCCATGTGAATATGTGTGTGTGTGTGTGTGTGCGTGCGTACATGCACGTGTGTGCTTTAGGGAGGACAGTGCAGAGTGTGTGATGGAGCAGGCAGATAAAGCTCCAGTCTGGGCCTTTATAAGAAGTCTCATAAATCCTGGGGGTCCCCCATCTCTAAGAAAGGTGGACAGTGTCGGATGGCACTTGGTCTGTGAAAGCCCAGCCCCAGAGAGGCCATCACTCTTTCTCTCAGCCTCACTCATGCATGCTCTATTCCCTCTCAATGGCAGTAAAAGTGTAGTAAAAGTGTTAATAGATTCAGTGGCATGAGATCATAGCTGCGGGAAGTAGGAGTGCTGAAAAATCAGATAAAAAATAAATAATTAATAATGAATAACAAAATCCCACAAAAGTAGTGCACTGGGCCTTTAATAGTCCTGTATTAGTGTTATTAGCGGACCGATATAGCTGTCTGCAGCACGCTTTATTCCAGCACCCCCCTCCCCCCAAAACTGCTTCCCGTGGCTATGCATGAGATAGACTGCCATAAACCTCTATTATTGCTTAATGACAGCATTAGCATTAGTTGGTAATCACCGCCTCATTCTCATCCTTCCACCCCCTCTAAACGACTCACTGTTAATACCTGCTTGTTATAACAGCAAGCCAGCATTCAGTCACTGGTCTACCTGTAGATTCTCAATATTACGGTGCCAGTGCCACCCGTATCAAGGAACAGCACCTATAGACAGGAAGCCGTCATTGATTCACAACATTTCCATACAATGCTGCTGTAAAGTCAGAGGTGCTGTGGGCTTCCTGTCACAATGGTGATCTCAGAAGCACAGAGCAGAGGGGATGTCATGGTATGCCGTGTCACATGGCATGTGCGTGTTTTAATCATAGTCTAATGGTCATGTTTGTTTGCTCACAGACCACCTAGCTTAAAGGGGATTCCTCTCTAAAGCCTCTCCTCGATCACTGGACCAGCAGCCCTTTAGCCCGTATGGTATATGACTGGTAAGCTGGAAACTCCATAGTGGGCAGACAGATTTGTTGTGCTGCCAGCACTAATCTGGGTAGTATATTGTTTTATGGCGTAGGATAACTACCCTTATCATGGTTACCCCCATTCCTGGAGGGACTGGGATTTGCGCACATAGCTTTTCAGTAGTACATCACTTCTCTGCAGTAGATCTTGTTTCACTAGTTTATTTTTAGCAGGCTAAACACTGATAAGCTCCTGACTTATCATTCACATAATAAGCTGTTTATGTTAATCAATAAGAACAATTAGACCCTATGTAAGACCAATTGTCATAGACTTCAGATAATAACTTCATCGACTTTATATAATTATTATGAACATGTTTCCCGGATTTCAGCAGTTTTATAAAAATTCCTGTCTTTTTACTTAGACTAGTGAAGAAGATCACCTCATCAATCACGTCTGCCCACAGACCATTGACCACATATAACAAACATTGGTCTGGGGGTGTGTCTATGTCTGAGGAGGACCCACCCAGACACAGCTATACATCTGATGATAAAGCATATGGCCAGGGTCCTACAATAACAAACATCCTCTTAGATAGATAAGGTATTTCATTGGAACCTGAAGATTAAACATAAGTAACACAAGTAATTTAAAATAAAGTATTCAAATGTTCGAATTACCATAACAACTATATAAATACAGATTGTTTCTCAAAGATCAAAGGGGATAAATAGTCTAGTGATCTTGTAATTGTTTATACTATAGAACATCCACTCTAACAGATCAAATTTATATTCAAATACTTAAATGATCTTCTCATGTTTTCTTCATCTGCCTGTGGTCTGTCACTCTCAGGCTCCCATACTGCAGGTTGGGTTTGCGTGTCGCTGGGATGAATGGAGCTAGACTTATCTCTGGCCTGCACTGGTGCCAAGTGTTTAATTAAACTCTGTGTCATTCCAATCCCAGCATGCTGTACTTAAGCCTGGCTTGGGCTCAGGACTCTGCTTTGGGGTGCGGAGGGGCTACCCAGCTGCCACGGGGGGCTCCGCTGTCCCGCTTGGTGTTAGAGTGCGACGGGATAAGCCCCCCACTCACAAAGGACCCGGCTAGCCATTGATGGACCCCTCATACACTCATTAAACCTGGACTGGACCTCTCTCCACTCCAGCAACTGTTGTAAGGCTAGTGCAGGAGGCTATAGTAACATTAAGACCTGGCTTAACACATTTATAAGAGATGCAGGGATACTTTTGAGAGAAAATATTTGTTAAAGTAAGTTCAGTATTATGGTCTACTTTGATCATATCAACAGGTGCATTTGTTGTTGGTACACACTGCCATAAAACTACACTGAACAAAAATATAAACACAACATGTAAAGTTTTGGTCCCATGTTTCATGAGCTGAAGTAAAAGATCCCAGAAATTTTCCATAAGCACAAAAAGCTTATTTATCTTAGATTTTCTGCACAAATGTGTTTACATCCCTGTTATGAGCATTTCTCATTTGCCAAGAAAATCCATACACCTGACAGGTGTGGCATATCAAGAATCTGATTAAACAGCATGATCATTACACAGGTGCACCTTGTGCTGGGGACAATAAAAGGCCACTCTAAAATATGCAGTTTTCTCATACAACACAATGCCACAGACGTCTCAAGTTTTGAGGGAGCATGCAATTGGCATGCTGACTGCAGGAATGTCCACCAGAGCTGTTGCCAGAGAATTTAAAGTTAATTTCTCTACCATAAGCCGCCTCCAACGTCATTTTAGCGAATGTGAAAGAATGTCCAACCAGCCTCCCAACCGCAGACCAGGTGTATGGCGTTGTGTGGGCGAGTAGTTTGCTGATGTCATTGTTGTGAACATGGTGGCGGTGGGGTAATGGTATGGGCAGGCATAAGCTACGGACAACGAACACAATTGCATTTTATTAATGGCAATTTGAACGCACAAAAATACCATGACGAGATCCTGAGGCCCACTGTGAAGCCCATTTTTTTTTATGTATCTGTGACCAACAGATGCATATCTGTATTCCCAGTCATGTGAAATCTATAGATTAGGGCCTAATGAAATTATTTCAATTGACTGATTTCCTCATATGAACTGTAACTCAGTAAAATCAATGAAATTGTTGCATGTTGCGTTTATATTTTTGTGCAGTATATTTAGATATTGTTTCAGAAAGTGATATAAAGTGGGGAGAGAGGAATGAAGAGAGAGGAGGAAATAGACCTCAGTAAGTGAGAGGGAGAGGAAAAAGGGGTGTAGCAGAAAGAGAGCTCTAGAGAGAAAAACAGTCCATGTCAGTAAATCCAGGCCATGTATTCTTTGGCCTCTCTCTGCAGGGGTGATTACTCTGCCTTACTCTAGCCAGCCAAGCTCTGTCCCCAGAGAGCTCACACACACACTCACAGTACTGACTACTGACCAAGCATGGAGAGCCTGCAGCACACTTACAGCTAACTTCTATTGGAGCAGAGAGTTGATCGGCTGGACCAGTATGCTGGGCGGGGACCCTGTGGAGGAGTGACAGGCAGCAGTACTGAGGCTGGACGTTACGGGACCCAGTGGGTCCCATCACCGCCATGGAGTTTGGGAGGTTTCTTTTCAAGTACCAAAGAACTTTGCTGCTCACCATGATAATGTTCAAACTGGGTAGGACTTTTGATCAACTACTAGGTGTATGAATACTAGAATACTCTATGTGTTGTTTTGAGTGTGAATAATGAGAAGTGTGTGTGCACTTGTATGTGTGAGTATTAATGGGGAAAATAGTGATGTGAAAATGTGTGTGTGTGTGTGTATATGGGTGTGTGTGTGTGTGCGTGTGTGTGTGTGTCTGTTTGTGTTTGTGTGTGTGTGTGTGTGTGTGTAGGAGATAGGGACAGTGCTGTAATAGGGCATTAGCAAGGTGGGAGGATGTTACAGGAAGACAAGCGGTAGTAGCCAGCTGGCAGACAGGTTGTTGTAGTTGGTGTTAATCTGAGTGCAGTCTCCCTTCAATAAGTTATTTATTATTTAATTATACGGCTGGTCCCATTTAGACATCTCTTTAAGAGAACCAAGAGAGACTTGCCCGAAGAAGAGAGCTATCAAACATTTGTTACATATAATACATAAAACAAGAATTGTGGTAAAATTATGTCACTATAATTTATCAGCCATTACTATGTAAGACACTATAAGATATAATTGGCTTGAGCGCTTATCATTAATTTAATTCATAGTTCACAATGAACTAACATGGTGAGATAATTGGCTTTTGTTATTAATCCCTGATAACCCATGTCTTCTATGATAGGAGCATTAAGACTAGTAGAGAGATGAAGACAGGAGGGAGCGTGGGGTGGGATTGGGGTGCCGTTGGTTGGGGGATATTTTGAACCCCACCTAATGATGCGTTGACCCATTTTTCCTGTGGCCCTGTGGGAAGCGTCTGAACCTCGTTAATTTGGACAGACTGACAGGACGGGACGGCTAGAGCGGATTGCATGCAGGGGCCATTGTTACCCATCACCATGGTGACGGGCTAAGAGTCTGGCCGCACCACTTTTTGTCTAAACTATGAATGGAGAGAGAGGCAAGTGTTCGGAGAAGTGTGGAAAAACAAACAGTATATTTAGATTTTATGGCTGATGGAAAAATATCTACAATATTGAATCAACCATATAAAATACTATCTTGACAACAATATGGCTCCTTCAATGTTAAACCCACACGAAACACAAACGTTTAAATCTCTGACTAACATCACAGGATAACTGTGACTAAACATGTGAGAATTTGTGCTTTTTAAAGCAAAGTGAATCACCACAGTGAAGCCTTTTGAGTATGAATACAGTTTTGGACAAAGCACAACACTGGCATGGCTTGGCTGGCAGTCCCCTGTGGTGACCAAATAGAATTCCTCTAACTAGAATTTGTGTTAGAGCCAGGAGCGTCCTCTCACATTAGTCATGGCATCATTGGTCCACACCCCATAGTGTGGGTTTCAATTGACATTTGACTTGGAGTTTATGTAAAGGTTATGTTTGGGTAACTATTGTTGGTAATTGTTATCATGGGGCAGGGTAAAAAAGTGCTAAAGTATAATATCTAATAATCATCTCTTATCTTCCTGCTGCGTTCTCCCACACTGTTAGAGGGATGCTCTGACAGACTCACTCTAGAGTTGAGGCTGGGAAGTTAGGATGGTCCCATGACAAGTACCTGACTCTGCTCTGTGTTTATCTTGATTCCTGGGGGTCAAGTGCTTGGTGCAGTGCAGTGCCAGAGAACAGCGTCGTAATCTACCCATAACCATGATCTATGAACTGTTTGACTTGGGAGGCAGCAGTGACATCAGCACATTGGAATGTTTCAGGGATGACTGGTCTGGCTGCAGCAGGATAGACCAGTCAGAGACGCCGACTGTCTCAGCCAATCACCACCCCCCACACTACTACTAGTCTGATATGGGGTCCAGGTTGTACCAGCTACACTACACTACTTAATCATCTTTGGGTCTTATAAAAGCGCTATATACACTGAGTGTACAAAACATTAGGAACACCTTTCTAATATTGAGTTGCAACCCCTTTTGCCTTCAGAACAGCCTCAATTCGTTGGGGAATGGACTCTACAAGGTGTTGAAAGCATTCCACAGAGATGCTGGCCCATGTTGACTACAATGCGTTCCACGGTTGTGTCAAGTTGACTGGATCTCCTTTGGGTTGGTGGACCATTCTTGATCCACACAGGAAACTGTTGAGCATGAAAAACCCAGCAGTGTTGCAGTTCTTGACACACTCAAACTGGTGTGCTTGGCATACCCATACCATACCCTGTTCAAAGGCACTTACATCTTTTGTCTTGCCCTCTGAATGGCACACATACACAATCCATGTCTCAACTGTCTCAAGGCTTAAAATCCTTCTTTAACCTGTCCCCTCCCCTTCATCTACACTGGTTGAAGCGGATTTAACAAGTGACATCAATAAGGGATCATAGCTTTCACCTGGATTCACCTGGCCAGTCTATGTCATGGAAAGAGCAGGTGTTCTTAATGTTTTGTATACTCAGTGTATATACGATTTTGGCTTACTGACACACTCCTCTTCCCCCAGGTCTCACTAACGGCACCTTTGAAAGCAATGCTCTGCAGTTCACTGCTAATGGCTCGCTAGTTGCCTCGGTGACCAGTGTCTGTTCCTAATGTTTTGTACACTCAGTGCAATCCTATGCATTATGATTATGTCTGGAGCATGTTTAACACACTAATATAAAGGGAACAGAAAACCAGATCCATTACACCATGAGTTAAGGGAAGCTTGTGAGTTGATGGGTTGAGAGTAGGAGGAACTGACGAAACTGGGGGTCGAAACCAACGTTCCAGTGTGTCTGGGGTATCAGGGCATTAGTGGAGAACAGGGAAGGTGTTTCGAATAGACAGATTACAGCAGGGGAAGCAGACTGACTGACAACAAGTAGACTGTGACACACTACCTTACAGTAGGACATTATCAGTGGTCAGTGGTCTCCAACCCTTGTCATGGAGAGCAACAAGTTGTGCTGGCTTTTGTCAATAATCATAAACCTGATCACACACAACTAATCTATGTGATGATCAGTTGATTTATTTAATCAGGTGCTGAACTGGATCAACATCCTGCCCACCCTGCAGCTCTTCAGCACTATGGGTGGTCACATTATAGTAACAGGTGTAGGTGTTAGGGTTAACATGAAGGTACCAGATAGGTGTTAGTGGTGACACAGGAGGGATATAGACGTGCTAAAGGGGTACAGTAGGTGTTACTGTGGATAGAGGGACAGGTGTTTTATAAGGAGGGGTGACTAACAACCCACTGGGCATACACTGGTTGAATCAATGTTGTTTCCACATCATTTCAACTAAATTACGTTGAGCCAATGTGGAATTGACGTTGAATTGACGTCTGTGCCCAGTGGGAAGGGACAGAGAAATATTCACAATGTGACCTGCCCTTTAAGATAAGCTGTGAGTGACTCTAGTACGGAAAGAACTCTCATGTAAACACATGTTAAAAATCCCTGCTAATGCACTTTGTTAAATACAGTATCAACAATACCAGTATATTGAATAACTCTGATAAGCCAGAAGCTATACATCTGTGTTCATTAGGTCGATACTTTAGTAATCTAATCAAATCAGGATTTAAGACAACATACACATTCCATAAATGTAATTATGTTTTCAATAGGAACACATTATGAGGACACACACAGCATTTACATTTGACATTTTAGTCATTTAGCAGACGCTTTTATCCAGAGCAATTTACAGTTAGTGCATTCATCTTAAGATAGCTAGGCGAGACAAGCACATATCAGTGCTAGTAGGGGGGTGGGATGCGAGGGGGAGGGGTGATGTAGGATTATTTAAGATACTCTTTGAAGAGGTAGGGTTTCAGATGTTTTCGGAAGATGGTCAGGGACTCTGCTGTCCTAGCTTCAGGGGGAAGCTGGTTCCACCATTGGGGTGCCAGGACAGAGAAGAGCTTTGACTGGGCTGAGCGGGAGCTGCCCTCCCGTAGGGGTAGGAGGGCCAAACGACCAGAGGAGTACTTGGGTTGAGGTGTAGGGTTTGATTATAGCCTGAAGGTAGGGAGGGGCAGTTCCACAGTTTTGTCCCCTTCATATTCAAATATTTTAGCACTGTAAGCTTATTATTTTCCATAAAGGAAATTCTGCAACAAAAGTGTTTGCTATGTCCTCAACAACTATAGCGGAAAATCGAACCAGGGTCAAACAGTCTGTGATTATTAAACTAGTGAATGACAACCTGATGCAGTGTGTATTACGATGGCCCATGCGGTCAGGCCCAAGTCAGAGTAGTAGTGGTCAGAGTGAAGGGAACTTTCATTGATGAAGTCTCAGGTAACAGCTGCTCACACAGTGATTGTCTAATACGTTTACTCCTAACACCATCTGCTGTGTTCACTCTAGAAAGTGGGGCTTTTTACTCTTCATTAAGAGAGTGCTCTGTAAGCGCCTCAAAAGCTGAGACAAAGGGAGAGGTCAAAGGTACTGTAGCTCATTAGTCTACTAATGAGCTCGTAGGATGTCACGCCTATAAAAACTCTCATTGCTAATACTTGGTCATCTCGTTGGCAATGTTCCCTCAACATTTTTTTGGCACTGAGCAAATTTCAGGTCTGCTGAGCGCAAACTTGAACGTTGTGAAAATTCTGTGCAACTTCTGGCGCATGTTTATTGTGAACACTGAGGCTGTACACACTTTAAGGTACAGTTATAACAGTGGCCAAGTAGGCTGCTGTGGCTATTTGATCATAATGTAGGCCTATCAGAGTGGTCTACCATCAAAAACAATGGAGAAAAAGCATCCCATAACATTTTAACATGGAAATACTGCAGCTGTTCTATCATTCAGCCTACAGTAGCAGCCAATGAGTGGTGTTCAATCTAGACGTGAGACATTTGGAAAAAATATACAGGGCTTGACATTAACCTGTTTATCCACTTGTCCTTCAGACAAGGAGGTGACTGAAAATATGCTGTTTGATGCAAGAAACCACTTTACAAAATAAAGTTAATTATTATTCCCATACCAATATTACAGAGAATCAGACACATTATGCTACTCTCTGCCTATTGGCTACATAGCTTTTGCAAGCCTGTCTCAAAATACAACACTTCCCCTTTAACACAGATACAATGCTCTTTACCTGACTCACTTTTTATAGATGGCTAGAAATGCACACGTTTTGTGCTATTGTAGGAAGCAACCACTCCCCCATTTCTGACTAGAAACAAGCTATAACTGGGCTAATAACTCACTAACTAGCAAAGCATATGAACAAATGTGCACACGTGGCTACATGCAGCTCTTGCTTTGATCTCAAAACAAGTGCATCTACTCGGGACCACTCATGCTGTGAACACAGTCCAGTTCAAAGTGAATGGCACAGATCCATATATGGCAGGGGAAAACTAGAAAGTTGAGTGAAGTTCAATCTTGTGCTTCTCTGCTGGGGCTGATATTTCTTCTGCACTGCAGTCCCAGGGGAGCTGCGCGCCCGCAAGTGCGCAGCTTAGAGGGAACATTGCTCACTGGTAATTCTTTACCAGTGTAATAGACTGGTCTTAATACTTTACCAGACTTTACCAGTGATTATCTCACAGCAGTTTCATCAAGTCCAACTTTGGAGCTTGATAAGGCCTACTCATTCATGTTAAATACGGATGTTTTTATTCTTCTTGCCTACAGGTATACTGTGCACAGCAGCAGACCAGTGTCTGTTATCCCCGTGTCAGAATGGAGGTACATGTGTGGACTATATGGGCAACTACACGTGTCTCTGCCCCAGATGGCCAGTCCGCTACACGGGCAAGGAATGTAGGGAGCTGTACGACCCCTGTGTCTACGATGCCCCTTGCGCCAACTGTACCAGCACACTGGGCACAGGGGTCTACACCTGCCACTGCACTGACGGCTTTGCAGGGACCAACTGCACACTCAACATCAACAGGTGTTTGAGCAACCCATGTAAAGGGGGTGTCAGGTCCCACTGTGTGGACAGGGTGGACGGCTACACCTGCCACTGTCCCCCTGGCTATGGAGGAGAACAGTGCCAGGAAAGGATCAGGGACTGCTCTGAGGAGCCGTGCCACAACGATGCCACCTGTGTTGGCACACCAGATGGGTATGAGTGCCAGTGCGGCCCGGGTTTCCAGGGGAGGGACTGTGAGGAGAACATAGATGACTGTAAGTCCCTCCCTTGTCAGAACGGAGCCATCTGTAAAGACGGCGTCAACGGATACCAGTGCTTCTGTGTGCCTGGTTTCCAAGGCTACCACTGCGACCTGGACATTAACGAGTGTGCGTCGCGGCCATGTGAGAACAACGGGACCTGTGTCAATGAGGTGGACCACTATGAGTGCAACTGTCTGCTAGGATTCAAAGGTGAGACAGTCTCTGTTTAGGTCAGTGCAATGTATCCTGCTGTCTTTAGAGTGTGAGGGAACTACCCTTTCTCCATAATTCAGCGCCTTTAGTTAAGAGTTCACTACTAAACCAACCTCATATAGAAACTACAAACGTTTAATACACCATATTCATTGTTGCTTCCCTTAGACCTCAGAGCTCAGTTGTTTTCCTCATGGTGAAACCCATCATATGGAGCTGTGTCTGTGTTGTGTGTGGCAGGGGTGAACTGTGAAGTGGAGATAGATGACTGTGAGGAGCAGCCCTGCCAGAATGGAGCCACCTGCCACGACCATGTGGGCCTGTACACCTGTGAGTGTGTGTCCGGGTACGAGGGCCATGAATGTGAGCTGGACATTGATGAGTGTGCCAGCGGACCCTGTCTCAACGAGGGCAACTGTACAGACCTGGTGAACAGGTAAGGCGGCTCCTACTCTCTCTCCTCTTATAGGCTGAATCAGCTGCTTAACCCCAATGTGTCGGTGAGCAGTATGTCAGTCGAGGGATTCCTTCCAGAGAGTAAAGTTTAACAGGGCAAGGATAAGGATTAATCTGCTTATTCGGATGGTAATTAATCATGAGGTTGGGAAGTTAGGAAAACCTGACAGAGCTTCATCAGACCTGGGTTGTTAACCTTGATAATACAGAGATACATTAGATTGAACCAATTAGATTTGTTAATCAATAAATGCCATATAGGTGGTCTAAAGAGGTCTAGTGGTCTAAGCTGTTTCGAATCTGGCCCACTGCTATTTCAGCATAATCTGGAGTGGGATTTCCCCACCAAAGAAACTTAAGGAAGGGTGGAATTCCACTCTCTTAAAAAAAGAGCCTGTAGATCAGAAATCATATACTAGATTAGAAACTTCACAGCTAAGGCTGTTTACCATATCTACTGGCTGTGCTGAGATCCCACAGTGTTTTCATACATCAAAGCTGTCCCAGTTTCACTGAAATAAGATGGATCAAAGTTGCCTCTGTAACTCTCCTCCTCAGCTATGAGTGTGACTGCATTGGGACAGGCTTCACAGGAGAGCAATGTGAAGTGGACATCCCAGAGTGTGCTTCTGACCCCTGCCAGAACGGAGCTACCTGCCTAGAGGGAATCAACCAATATAGCTGTGCCTGCTGGCCAGGTACACACACCAAATATTCCGGCAGTGTACCCACTTCTCACCAAATGAGGGAGTAGTAACAATCAGCTGTCTGTCATGTCTGCCAAGCTTTCGCTTCGCTACACTACAGGAAGTATTACACACGCAGGGATTATTGGACAAGGCTATTTGATCTGCTATCTGACACTAAAACAGAGAGTGAGTGGGAACATCCTAAGTGTCAGGAGTGTGTTGAAATGAAAAGCTCCAGGCGCCTCCAGGCAGCCTTTTACAGACATTTCAAACCCTCTTCTTGGTAAGATTGGGTTCTTGGAGTTTCCCAGACGTAAATCAAAGAGATAAAGGGTAAAAGGTATGTAGTTTAGAGGACAAGAAGGGGGAGTGGTATGAGACATAGCGAAATACCTATAATAGTCTATAATAGTGTAGTACTAACTGTGGTGTCAATCCTCAATGCCATCTAGTGCAGAACTGGTGCAACTGCAGGGCCATGAGCAATAGGAAAACAAAGATGATCCTCAATAATAAATCATAATATGGGAGAACACATTATATTGTTGTATTTTGATGCATAAAGACATGATGATAGGTACTGTATGTGTGTATTGAACAAGGTGGTACTGTGTGGTCCAGTTTTAATAATGGCTGTGTGCGTTGCAGGTTATGAAGGGAAGAACTGCCAGGTGGATATAGATGAGTGTGAGCTGGAGCCCTGTGAGAATGGAGGAGAGTGTTTCCAGCGCTCAGAGCTGCTGCACTACGGGGTGCTGTCTGGACTGCAGGACAGGGAGTTCAACTATGAGGATGCAGCTGGGTTCCTCTGCCACTGTCAACCTGGGTTTGCTGGTAAGGCAAAACACTCATTTTCATACTTGGTGACCTCATGATCATTGAATCCTTTAATAATAAGATCTGATTGAATAGGAATCCATTGATATTGTAATCAATGTTAATTTGAGTTGAGGGTAAGTTAATGAGTACGTAAGTAATGTGTCCTGTCTCTTGCAGGAGAGAGCTGTGAGCTGAATGTGAACGAGTGTGAGTCTGCCCCGTGTCAGAACGGAGGGAGCTGTGAGGACCTGGTTAACTCATATTGGTGTGTCTGTCTACCTGGATTTACAGGTAAGACTGGCACTCTTTTTCACTATGTAATAATACAGCTCTTTATGTGCAAAGAATCCCTGAGCTTCTCTTAATATCTATCAGTTTATAGAGAAAATAAATCTCCAGGGCTGGCTCTAGCCTTTGGGGGCCCTAGGTGCACATTTTGTAATGACTTATGCCATGTTAATATGATGTCTGTGTGAGAATGACAAACAAAATCAATGGGGGCCCCCTGGAGATCAGGGCCCCTGGGCATGTGCCCTGAGTGCCCGTTCGGTATTTGGCCATGATTACTACAAGTTTAAATAGCTAGCTAGACTAACTACCAATCTATTGCACAACCAAAATTCGAAATGAAACCTGGTGTATTCTACTATTCTTACTCTCAATAGTAAGTTGAGACCCCGACTTTTTTTGGGTCGGGGACCCCCTAACGGCCAGGGGCCCTAAGCGACCGCTTATTGCGCTTATGCCTGGAACTGGCCCTGGAAATCCCATAGTGATAGCTCTTTGGATTCACTTGCTGAGCAGTGAGCAAAACAATAATTGGTTAATCCTGCCCCTGCTGACCATTCCTGCTGGAACTGGTCTGCTTGGGTATTAGATAGCTTTAATACCACCATCAGTCAAAACAGAGATAAAACCACGCTGAAAGTTTGACCTTGAGTTTAGTACAAGTAAAGGTGGGCAGGAAAACCACCCATGAATAACTCTGAATAACAGAGTTATTAACTATGAATAACAACTGAATATGAAACAAAGTCTATCTCCAGTTTCTTAGGTGACCTGCCGTGTACAGGGGCTTTGACAGGGCGGGTATTTGTTTATTAGGATCCCCATTAGCTTTTGCAGAAGCATCAGCTACTCTTCCTGGGGTCCACCCAAAACGTAACAAAACAAAACACTGATAGACAAGGATAGTCACAAATTGAAAATACAACGATACACAAACAATACAACAAAAAAACTATATAAACAATACAACTAAAAAATGATGTGAGTGTTAGAGTTTGTCTGTGTGTGCCCCCTCACTGTCCCCGCCATTCCATGAGATGTTGTTTAATCCGTTTTTGAAAGGTAATTTTGCTGTTTGCTTGAGTAATTGGAGATGGAAGGGAGTTCCATGCGATCATGGCTCTGAATAATACTGTGCGTTGCCGTGAATTCATTTTGGACTTGGGGACTGTGACGAGGGGATTCCAAATGGAGGGGCATGGCAGTAGAAGAACAACAAAGCCCATAAAACCTGCTGCCATATGTCAGTTGCACTGCCTGGGCATTAAACATAGGTCTTTAATCAAGTATACCAGGGGGAAGAGAGATTAGCACAAAGCTGCTTAAGCCTTATCAACTGCTAATGAATAAAAGCAGGCATGAAAGACCCTCTCATCCCAAAAACAAAACCTGTTACCAATTAGTACAGAATGCATTGTGATACTCCTAGCCCTAGGCTATTTGCACTGTAAGCATACTTCCATATATTGTAACCAGGCATCAGCAAAATAGAGGGGACATAACACACACGCGCACAACAAGATAATATGACTGCATATTCTCTGTGATTCCATGAGTTTCCATTGCACGTGCAGATATAGTACTCAGAAACCATCTCCTGTGATTAGAATGCCGTCTGCCACTAGCGGGCATCCATAACATAGACCAGGAGGGACTGCAGCCCAACATTCCTGTTGTCAGCACTGACAGAAGCCAGCTGGGTGGGAGGCTTAGGGGAGGCTGCATGCAGGCATGAGGGAGGGAGAGAAGGAGGGTGGGCTAGGCTGGTGTAATCACTTCTGCCTGCCTGGTACAGAGGGGAGTGTATGGACTGTGTGTATGTGTGTGTGTGTGTGTGTGTGTGTGTGTGTGTGTGTGTGTGTGTGTGTGTGTGTGTGTGTGTGTGTGTGTGTGTGAGTGAGACAGAGAGGGAGAGAAGGGGCACGAGTTGGATCTCTTCTGTGGGATCTGTTTAGCTATATGTGTGTGTTTACTGCTCTGGGAGAATGAGGGGGCTACTGCTACTACTGCTGCTGGCTGTGTGGTGTGGGCCATGGGGACAGACAGGTAAACACCTCAGACTTACAGTAGAGGAAGGGCTGCTAGGACAGGCTGTGTGTTTATGTGGGGGAGGTAGAGGGCTGGAGGGGGGCGCATGGAGCGATGTTATTGTTTTTACTTGTGCGGTGAGGAGTTTTAGTGGGTTTTGCTGATGTGTAAACTTTCTGGGCTCATGTCTTACTAAGTGTATTATAGTCCCATTGATTTACTATATATACTGTAAATAATTTAGCAATATTCTTGACAGCATTTGTTTTTTAAATGTGATTTTAATGTAACTGGGCTCACATCCGTACCAATATTTCAACTGTCAGATCAATTCAATTAACGTCACAGTGATTACTTTAATTGTGTAAGGCTACCTGCATCAGTAATTTCATCATTAGTAAACTGTCATAGTCTAATCAAGTGCTTCCTGGAGAGTCTCATGCGTGCCAGTGTACTTAGTTCCATATCTGATTAACTCATTTGGTTTGATTAGGGAGACTCTGATTAACTTATTGGTTTGGTTCAGGAGACCCTTATGCTGAATCTCTCTGTGTGGCTGAGGGACAGCGCTGTCTGGCAGAGACCGACATGACCAAAACCTTAAGCCAGATACATGTCAAACATGAAGAACTAACGGTGTGTTATGTTTTCGTTCCAGGTGTGCACTGCGAGGTAGACATTGACGAGTGTGAGAGCGAGCCCTGTCAGAACGGAGGGTCCTGCCAGGACGGCGCCAACGCCTACACCTGCCACTGTGTGGAGGCAGAGCTAGGGGAGGAGCCATGGGGCGGCCGTAACTGTGACGTCCGTCTGATTGGCTGCAGGGAACACCTGTGTGAGAACGGAGCCACCTGTGTGCCTATCCTAAGCCAAGAAGAGGATGGTGATGAGGACGGGGTTGAACAAGAGCATGGCCACACCTGCCTTTGTCCCCCGGGCTTCACTGGGAAGCACTGCAACATCCCCACCACCTTCTCCTTCAACACAGAGGGCTATGTCCTCATTCAGCTCCCTCCTATAGCTAACAGGAGCAGGAGAGAGATAGACCCCCACCACCAGGACCACCATGGGCTCCACGTCCAGCTGCGCTTCAAGACAACTCTGCCTGACATGCTGCTGTTCTACATAGGGGCTGAGCACTACTTTGTGTCCCTGGAGATCGTGGGGAGCCTCCTCAAGGCTAGAGCTAGATCAGCGAAGGAGCTACAGGCCACCTACCATCTCCCAGTCAACGACGGAGACTGGCATGAGGCCAAAGTGACCATGGATGAGAAGCTGGTGCTGATGGTCAAAGGACCAGGCTGTGACAATGACGAGGGATGCACTGTGGAGGACGAAGGACACAACCAACTGGTCTTCTTCCAACCTGGATCCTTTCCAAAGGTCTATGTGGGGGGGGCCCCCCAGAAGTATCTGGACAACACAGACAGCAGGAAGGGTTTCATTGGCTGCATGGAGGATCTACATGTTGACCACCAGCGTGTTCTGCCCCAGGATATCTCTCCAGAGCACGTCCAAGACATGGAGCTGGGCTGCAACAAGACTGACTGGTGTCATCCTGACCCCTGCCATCATCGTGGGCAGTGTATTGACCTGTGGACTAGCTTCAGCTGTGAGTGTGATCGACCCTATCATGGCTCCCTGTGTGAAGAACGTAAGAACTGTTATATCTTTAAAAAATTACTACATTTTAGTTTTCAAATATTGTTTTTATAATTATGTAAAAACTATACAATAAACTGTAAACACCAGGTGCTGACAATATACGATCATTTAAAGGGGCTTACTCAACTTACAACCAGTTTCCTTCAACTACACTGGTTTGTACAGGTTTTGTCATTCCCACTGAAAGCGTTGCTTTTTGTTGCTTCCCTCAGAATACCCCTCATGGACATTCAGTAATGAAGAAACAGTGAGCTATGCTGCCTTCAACATCAACAAAACTGATGCTGAGAACTTCAACATCTCCTTCTTCCTGCGCTCTCTGAAGCCCAGCGGCCTGCTCTTCCAGCTGAGGAGAGGGAGGAGGGCCTACCTCACCCTGTACCTGCGGGAGGGAACCCTGGTCTTCAACAGCCCCCCCACCACTCTGTTCTCTAACGGTACCTACATCACCAGCGGACAGAGGGAGCTGGTCGCTGTGGTGGTACACCAGGGTCAGGTAGGGTTCAGGCAGGCTGGTACACAGCTCTCCCTGGGGAGGGTGAGGATGGAACGGGGGGATGTGGTGTACATCGGGGGTCTGCCTCCGGGGGAGTCCACTGCCCCCTGGGGAGGTCACTTCAAAGGCTGCCTGCAGGACATCACTCTGGACCGCATGCAGCTGTATCCCAACCACACAAAGGAGGAGTGCCACACCCACGAAACGTACCAGTGCTACTTCCCAAACAAAGCTGAGAACGTGTTGGATGGCTGTGTCAGTGATGAGGCATGCAAGGTACAGTAACGTCAATGGCAACTTTAATCTTTAGAGATGTATTACTGTAACTGCAGGAAGTGGGTGCAACTGTTCAAGGAAACTTGGTACAAGAGCTGGCTAGATTTGTAAGGTTAGGGTCCTGACTACGACTTTTCAGTTCAGTCTTTGTAACAGACTAATTTCTATGTTCTCCTCAGACTGGTCCCTGTCAGAATGGAGGAATGTGCATGGTCACCTGGAATGACTTTGAGTGCACCTGTCCCATGAACTTCTCTGGCAGGAGATGTGATACACGCGTGTGGTGTGTCAGCGACCCCTGTGTCATGGGCAGCCAGTGTGTGGATCTAGTTGACGGTTACGAGTGTAAGTGGACTTTTTTGATTGTATACATTATCTCTCTCCCTTTCTCTTTACTACAGTCTCACTCTCTTACTGTCTTTCAGCCATAAACATGCAAACAAAATAACAAACACCATGTAATATTGAAAGGTATGACTGTACACTGAGTGTACAAAACATTAAGAACACCTTCCTAATATGGAGTTGCACCCCCTTTTGCCCTCAGAACAGCTTCAATTCGTCAGGGCATGGACTCTACAATGTGTCGAAAGCGTTCCACAGGGATGCTGACTCCAATGCTTCACACAGTTGTGTCAAGTTGGCTGGATGTCCTTTGGGTGGTGGACCATTCTTGATACACATGGGAAACTGTTGAGCGTGAAAAACCCAGCAGCGTTGCAGTTCTTGACACAAACCGGTGTGCCTGGCACCTACTACCATCCCCATTCAAAGGCAGTTAAATCTTTTGTCTTTCCCATTCACCCTCTGAATGGCACACATACACAATCCATGTCTCAATTGTCTCAAGGCTTAAAATCCTTCTTTAACCTGTCTCCTCCCCTTTGTCTACGCTGATTGAAGTGGATTTAACAAGTGACATCAATAAGGGATCATAGCTTTCAACTGGATTCACCTGGTCAGTCTATGTCATGGAAAGAGCAGGTGTTCTTAATGTTTTGTATACTCAGTTTATATACGATATTTGTTTTATTTTTTATTTTTATTTTTTTAAATCTTTTTTTAATATTTTTTTTCGGGGGGAATGGATCAGCTTAATATTGCAGATAGATTGTATCTTCTATCAATGTAATTGTCTGCATCACTTCCAATGCATCACTTCAGTTTATATACGATATTGCCTTACTGACACACTCCTCTTCCCCCAGGTCTCACTAACGCCACCTTTGAGAGCAATGCTCTGCAGTTCACTGCTAACGGCTCGCTAGTCGCCTCGGTGACCAGTGTCTCCCTGGACATACGTACGCGGAAGGAGAACGGCGTGCTGCTGCGGGCCACTAACGGAGCTGAGGTCTTCTGTCTGGGTCTGCTCAACTCCTCCCTGCTAGTCAAACTACTGAGCGGCAACAGCCTGGAGTTGCAGGCATTCACCAGTGACCTGCCCATCTCAGACGGGACCTGGCACCATCTCCACCTGGCCATGGCCGAACCCCTGCAACCTATGTCCCGCTGGCGCCTCACTGTGGACGGGCGCAGGGTGGGCAGCACCATGGGCACAGCCGGGAATCTCAACTTCCTCAACGACACCACTGTGTGGCTGGCAGAGAACTACACGGGCTGTCTGGGGGAGGTGAGGGTGGGAGGAGTCTACCTACCCCTGGTGGACAACCAGGATGCCCCCCAGGCAGCCCAGTTTATCAGGCAGGTGGGGCAGGAGCCCAAGATTGGATGTATTGGTGCCGATTTGTGCCAGTCCCAGCCCTGCCTCAACCAGGGCTCCTGCCAGGACCTCTGGAACCTGTTAAACTGCAGCTGTGCCCCAGGCTGGGAGGGACAGTTCTGCCAGAGGGACACAGATGAGTGTGCCACAGGCCCCTGTGCCCATGGCACCTGCACAGACCTGCTGGCAGACTACCAGTGTGTGTGTCAAAAAGGCTGGGGAGGCAGAGACTGTGATGAGGAGGTGGATGACTGCCTGGAGAACAGCTGTTTGAATGGGGGCTCCTGTCTGGACGGGATGGGCACCTACCACTGCGTCTGCCTCCCTGGATACAGCGGCCGCCGCTGTCAGTGAGTACCACAAACTAGTGCATGCTCCTGACTGGAAAAATCACAACACTGTGTGCGTGTGTTTAGTATGTGTAGAAGTTATTATGTGTGTGTTCTATAGGTGGAGATTCCCTCCACAGCAATGTGATGAGGACACGCAGTGTGACAATGGTGGAGTCTGCATGGATGGGATCTGGGGTGCCAACTGCACCTGCAAGCCTGGATACACTGGGGACTGGTGAGATCACCAACCTATTTCAATTTTTCCATAGACACTAATATTTTTGAGGACTAAAAACGACTAAAAAGCATGCTCAATGGACTAGGCTTAAAGGTAAACTGCCTCTTAGAACCAACTTTTCTGGTTTTAAACAGCCTATGTGGCATCGATATGAGTCAGAATCATTAATTCTAGTGTCAAAATTGACTACAAAGTGTAAATTTTTGTCATAAAGTCAGTCTCGTCCAAATCTGAGTTTTGTAAGCGAGTTCGTCACAACTTACTGAAGGATTGAGTATGGATAATGATCATGCCCACTTGCCCAGTGCCCACTAACACGAGAGAAGCAGCTGTGCTGATTGCGCTCTAGCAGCTGCGTTAGCTCTATCCAATCATAGCAGCCAGAACTTCCAGACAGAGAAACAAGCTTTTTGTTTGCAAGGCATGGTGATTGAAGATGGCTGCCGGTGCGGCCATGAGGTGGTGGTAAGATGGCGGACAGGAAAAAAAGAAGAAAAGTGGAACATATTATAAGTAAATATGGAATGGGGGAATGCACAAGCCTTCTGGAAGATCTGATGAAGGAGAAGATGGTGGACAGGAAAAACATAAAAAGGAGAAAGGTGGAACATGTTTTGAGTGACTATGGAATGGTGGATCACACAGAACTTTTGGAAGAGCTACAGAAGGAAATTGAACATCAAAAGAGTCAGGATTAATTAACTGCGGTGGCAGGTGCGGTGAAGACCGCTGAGTTTGAGCCTCGTCCTGATGATGACAAAGATGATTCTGGCCCTGTGGGAGTGAGATTCTTTGGAGAGAATGGATTCTTGCCTTCTGGCAGATCCATATGTGGTGTCAGGTTGGGTGGAGAAGAGGTTAGGGACTGTTGAATTGGTGAAAGTAACTTGAAGTGGACTCGTGATTCTTTTTTGCGTTTCTTCTGTCCAGAAGGAGTAGGCGCTCCGGACCACGCGACTAGAGACAAGAGCTGTGACTTGCTTTGCTCTCCGGAGCAGGGCACCATTGAAGGGAGTGATAACAGGGGTGGTGTTAAGTGTGGAAGAGGATAAACTGAAATGGAAGATTCCCGGTGTCTGTGACGCCTGCCATTTGGTGTGACGCAGTGCCGGTGAAGAGTGTGGTGAAACGGAGAGGACACTGTATTTCCTGCTGAGTTTTGATGCAGAGTCTTTGCCCGACAAGGTCAAGTAAGGATTATCCCATGAGAGAGTTTGTCCCGAACCCATTACGGTGTTTTAGGTGCCAATCTTATGGTCATGTTGCAGCAGTGTGTAGGAGGGAGATTCCTAGATGTGAGAAGTGTGCAGGTGGCCATGAGACAAAGGAATGTGTAGTATCGTTGGAAAGAGTTGTGTGTGTTAGCTGTGGGGGTGCCCATGGTGCTGGAGATCGGAGGTGTCCGGTGAGAGAAAGGCAGGTTGAGGTTGCCAGGATCAGAGTAGTACAGAAGGTGTTGTATGCTGAGGCAGTGAAGAGAGTAGTAGAGGAAGATGGGTACAGGGCGAGGGATCCTGAGAGTATTCCTGTGAGTAGGCAAAGACCAATGGAGAGTGATAGGAATAATATGTGCTTCAGTAAGGTAGGTTTCTTAGCATTCATAGCCATGGTTGTGGTGGCAGCTGCAGAGAAGTACTTGGGATTGCGAGATTTTACTGCAGAAGAGTTTTACTGTGAGAATGCTGTTCATTGACTACAGCTCAGTGTTCAACACCATAGTGCCCATAAAGCTCATCACTAAGCTAAGGACCCTGGGACTAAACACCTCCCTCTGCAACTGGATCCTGGACTTCCTGACGGGCCGCCCCCAGGTGATAAGGGTAGGCAACAACACATCTGCTACGCTGATCCTCAACAAGGGGGCTCCTCAGGGGTGCTTGCTTAGTCCCCTCCTGTACTCCCTGTTTACCCATGACTGCGTGGCCAAGCACGACTCCAACACCATCATTAAGTTTGCTGACGACACAATGGTGGTTGGCCTGATCACCGACAACGATGAGACAGCCTATAGGGAGGAGGTCAGAGACCTGGCAGTGTGGTGCCAGGACAACAACCTCTCCCTCAACGTGAGCAAGACAAAGGAGATGATCGTGGATTACAGGAAAAGGAGGGCCGAACATGCCCCCATTCACATCGACGGGGCTGTAGTGGAGCGTGTCGAGAGTTTCAAGTTCCTTGATATCCACATCACCAACAAACTATCATGGTCCAAACACACCAAGAAAGTAATGAAGAGGGAACGACAACGCCTTTTCCCCCTCAGGAGACTGAAAAGATTTGGCATGGGTCCCCAGATCCTCAAAAAGTTATACAGCTGCACCATCGAGAGTATCCTGACCGGTTGCATCACCGCCTGGTATGGCAACTGCTCGGCATCTGACCGTAAGGTGCTACAGAGGGTAATGCGTACAGCCCAGTACATCACTGGGGCCAAGCTTCCGGCCATCCAGGACCTATATACTAGGCGGTGTCAGAGGAAGGCCCAAAACATTGTCAAAGACTCCAGTCACCCAAGTCATAGAATGTTCTCTCTGCTACCGCACGGCAAGCAGTACCGGAGCGCCAAGTCTCGGTCCAAAAGGCTCCTTAACAGCTTCTACCCCCAAGTCATAAAACTGCTGAACAATTAATCAAATGGCCACCCGGACTATTTTCTTAACTCAATTTTCTTAAAACTGCATTGTTGGTTAAGGGCTTGTTGTATTTGACACATGTGACAAATAAAAATGGATTTGAATTGATTTCATACTATTTAGCACTTACCGTTTAGCAGAAAGTATGCAGTATGCCATGGCTGCAACGCAGTAGCGCCTCCTGACTGGCTGAGGTGGGCGGGGCTGAGTCCGGGTAGATTTTTTCAAATTCAACATACATGCATCGCATTAACCAGCCTGATAATAGCTCATTTCCAAGTAAATTAATTTCTCTAAACTCTGAATAAAATAGGAATGGAGTTATAGGCCTACTCAGGCTGGTTATAGGCAGCCTATCACGTTCAACCTATACCGTAGCCCATCTATCCTATTAAAAAGGACTAAAGACAGAAACAGATAATTTGGTTCCATTTCAACATATTTATTAGTGAAACCAAAGTGCTGTAACATACAATATATAAATGAAATCAAATAGCCTAGTACACACACCAAAACCTTTAGAATATTCAAATCAAAAGGCTATTGCACAGAAAAACGTGGACAGTCGTGTGCATCGCAAAGTCAGAACCGCTGGACAGCAACATCATAAACTAAAGCACTGATCATTGGGAACGAGATCAGAATGACTGCTTAGGCTTGATCCAAAAAAATAGGTAGCCTACAAAACTAAAACAATCCATATGTTCAAATCAAAAGGCCTAAATAACATGACATCAATAAAGCAGCCACATCCTGAGTCCCCGGTGCCGACACATTCAGAAATTAAAAGATGTTTGAGTATTTAGTTTAAAAGCTCTGACGAAGGCCAAGAGAACGAGAAACACTTTTCAATGAGAAAACAGAAATCCACTTTGGGTAAAAGTCAAGATCATTTTAAGGAGAACAAAACTACTTAGCCTACATTTGAACAGCACTGCAGAAGCTTCACTATTCTGCATCTTCCCAATTAAGTAGCCTAGTTTTGTAGTTTGGTTACTTGAAGAGAACTAGGGCCTATCACTCGCAGCCCATCTCTTCCAATGCATTGTGGAAAAGTGTGCATCGAATTCTACTAGATGAAGAGACTAAATTAGTATAACCTCCTGGCATTTAAAGCATACTCGATTTTCGAAAATTCACACACTATAAAACATTATATTTTCGCATACTGAGATTGCATTGTTTCCCACTACTGGTTGATTTCGGTAGCGCATCCCCATATCTAACTGATCAGCTGTTGTCAAAGCCAAAATGAGTATGACATCCGGGCTTTTAAAATATACTAAAAAAAAATTATGTGGCATATTATTAAACAAAAAAAATTCGCATATTCAAACGGCCTACTATTTAGGACCCAAGTGTGAGTATTTGGACAGAGTTGGAACTTAGCTAGCTAGCAAGTGATTTTGGGCACTGACAAACAACGTAAAATTGTGTGACTAAGACCTCCTCCCACATCAAACCACACCCCCAAGACAACTCTCGTTTGGCTTCAGTCATGGCCGCTAGCATTTCTTAATGAGCAATCTTCAAAACAAGGCCAAAATAGGATGTGCAGTCACCCTTTAACCTGTGTCCGGTAAACCAGCCCTATATGTCTACAGTTAAAATGCTGTCTATGTCAGTGGGTGGACAGTGTAAGGTTCCTATTGTAAGTACAGAGAGCTGTGGTCCTGCTGGTGTGTCAATGTTGTGTTGAACCCCTGATGTTCTCTCCCAGGTGTGAGGCAGAGATAGATGAGTGTGAGTCCAGACCCTGTCTCAACGGTGCTACCTGCCTGGACCGACTCAACAGCTTCCAGTGTGTGTGTGTGCCGGGCTTCAGTGGCACACAGTGTGAAAGTAATGTAGGTGACCACATACTGTATCTCCCCATATCACACTCAGTAACTAACAGTCTGCATGTAACCAGTACATAGTGTAGGTGTATATATTACAGTAGTCTAGTATGCAATGCTAATGTATGTTGAGTATCAAAAACTTATACACAGACCAGATTGGATCAAAAGAGCTGATGTATTTAAACTATTTAAACTGTAGTTCCTTTAATCTCAGTTTGAGTGAGAAGTAAGTTAGGCCTGTTGTCCTGCTCTGTCCCCTCTGTAGAGACAGGAGCAGAGGGAACGTGTGCCCTGGCTAGTGGTGGCCATCCCTCTGGCCAGCCTGTGTGTGCTGCTGGCCGTGGTGGCCCTGGTCTTCATGGTGCTGACCACCCGCAAAAAGCGCCAGTCAGAGGGCACCTACAGTCCCAGTGCCCAGGAGGTGGCAGGGGCACGGCTGGAGATGGGCAGCGTGCTCAAAGTGCCCCCTGAGGAGAGGCTCATATGAGCCATACACACAACAGAAACACACACTTCCTTCGCTTGACTGCATACACCTACACTCCCTGGCTCAGACACACAAACAGACAGGCGAGGACTGGTCAGACTCATTAAGAGGTGTCCAAGGGGCAAAAGGCCACCAGTGGTGTGGATATATGCCCTCACAGTGGTGCCCCCACTGCTGCTGCTGGATCATGGTGGTGGGGGTGGTTAAACCCAGAGCTCATCCCTCTATGGAAAGAAGTGACGTGGTCTGTCAGAGCCTCAGAAACAGGCAGGATAGCGGCTGAAAGAGCCGGTCTTCTTCCCAAGACTCGAGCACTGCTGTCGGGTTGAGTGTCATCAGCTAATCCCCTCTCTGGAGTGATGAACCATACTGGATTCCAGTGTCTTTCTATACAATACCTACAGTACCTGTGAACATTCTGTACCCCACATTGATTATGCGTGAGTTCACACTAATGACGACATTGTATTTTTTCTCGGGATGTGCGCTATATAAGTTAACAGGCTATACCAACTATGTTCTTTCTGACTGTGTAAATAATGATCTTATTTCTACATCTTTTATGTGTTTTTGTTCATGTCACTGTCTTATGCAAATGTATGAGGTGCTCCTAAAACTCCTAGAAAGTGGATTGAGACCATGTTAATGTTATCAGCTATCTTAAACTCTGATGCCACAGTCTTCAGACAGGTTACATTTACCCAAACCTACACTCCTGTCTCTTACTCTATGCTCACCAGTGCCACTAACTTAACCAGCCAAGTGATCAATGGACGTTTTCGCTGTCCACCAAAGGTGCTGAAGCTAGATATTGTGCTGTAGTTATTTTCTGTAACTATGGATGTTGTACCACATTTATACTGTAACTGAGCTAATTTCTATCAAATTAGCTTGATATTAAGTTTATGCAAGACCCTACTAAACACAAATCATTGAAAGATAACTATTTGTTATGAATTGACTTCCAAATTACTTTATGAATTAGTTGTTTGTATGTGCCTTCCTAACAGAATGAATGGAATGCTGACAAACCCAACATTTTACTCCTGTATATTGTATCTATATGTTGGATGGAGCCATGTATTGTCTCAAAGGGAAACGCACTGTGATGATTGTATTGATATGACAGACAGATAGACAGAGCATGCTGCCTGTTCCAGCTCTGTTGGGCCTCCTCCTCTTATTCCTGCTGGGCTGGATGATATTATACTGGGAGACATGGTACTGTGTATACACTGACGTCAGCTCTGCTCCAGTGCTGGATTTCACAGAATACATTCCAGTGTTGGGTTCAATTCAGTTTTCAATAAAGTCAATTCAGGAAGTGAACATAGCCCATTGCTTTCTATGGGGAATTGTCAATTGAAAACTGATTTGACCCCAATCCTGGTACACCCTGGATTAATCTACAACAGGGGATAGAGTGGACTGATCTGTATTTCAGCACTGAACAGTATGGTAGGAGCTTACACTGGACGCATCTCTACTCAAGCAGTACCATGTACAGTGTACTCAACAGTATGGGATGCTGGGTAGGCTACACTGGTATGTACAAGGAGTATTCTGTGATTCTGTAAAATGTGATTGGATAGCAACACTGTAACATTATGTAATTGTATATAATGTGATTTATTCAAAACTCAAAAGTTTCTACTGGATTTCAACAGTTAAACTGCTGCAAAAGAGCTCATATAAAATAAGGATAATTAAAAAACAAGTAATGGATCTACTGTGTACATTTCTGTTTGTAACTATCCTATAAGTCAACAGTTATCCTATAAGGCACAACTCATTCCACAGAGGGCCAGATGTCTGCGGGTTTTCGCTCCACCCTTGTACTTGATTGATGAATTACGGTTACTAATTAGTAAGGAACTCCCCTCATATGGTTGTCTAGGTCTTAATTGAAAGGAAAAATCAAAAACCTGCAGACACTCGGCCCTCTGTGGAATGAGTTTGACGTCCCTGCTATAAGGGTTTGACTATCTATTTGTTAAATAGAATTTGCAATTCAATGCCTATTGTTTGTGTCCTTTAAATGAATGCAATGCTCCTGAATGGATCCCCTCCCTCAGTAGGAAGAGAAGGGAAGCAGCGAGGGAGTAGAGCGACACAGGGCATGTTTGCAATGCCTACATTTAATAGAAAAATACACTGAATAGAGATGCGGTATCTCACAAGCAGAGGGCTGTTTCTTCTCATAACGTAACACATCTATGAGCTGGAAGAGAGGACCCTTCAGACATGACAGAGAAATCTTCTCTCTCTCATCCCAAATGAAACGAAGAGTATGATTCCAGTTTTAGAATTAGCTCACTGATCCAAGAGAATGGGAACTGGCCTATGCTGTTGAAACGGAGGGACCCAAGATAAAAATTCTAAATGAAATCTTATCTGCTGACATAATATGAGAACAACTGAGGGAACTACAATGATTTCACTCATCCTTCTGGAGTAGAAAAAGCCACGGCACTTACTGTCCCTCCCCAGGAGTGGGGCTGGCACAGAGGGACACAGCCAGGATAAGGGCCAGAGACAGAGATGTGAAGCCTGATCCACACAAGCAAGAAAACCCACAGGAGGGAGTGCTGAGCATAGAAGAGACATTTGGGAAGGACTATTGTTACCGTTTACAGTATTGCTGACAAAGGTGCTTACATTTATGTGAAAAGGTTGGAATAATGATGGTGGCTGAATATCCTGAGGGATCATTCCATTTATAGATAATCCTTTAACATCACACTCTCCATCTTATCTCCTTCTCTTTCTCTCTCTTTCTCTATCTTTCTCTCTCTCTCTCTCTCTCTCTCTCTCTCTCTCTCTCCTCTCTCTCTCTCTCTCTCTCTCTCTCTCTCTCTCTCTCTCTCTCTCTCTCTCTCTTCCGCTCTCTTTCTCTCTCTTTCTCTCACTCTGCACATCCCTCCTTCCTCACTCTCTAGCCTCTTTGAAGAGCTAATGGTGAATTCCTTTGTGTCTTTGTCAGAACTCCACCCTCAGAGCAGTGCAGTGGTGGTCAGTGCTTCTCTCCCTTCCTAATGAACAGAACTGTAGAGGAAAGGAACGCTGGCTGGCTTCTTCCCTGATCCACAGTGTGGGGGCGGAGGAGGCAGGAATGCTGGGCTGGAATCTACCCACGCACGCACACACACACTGGGCAGCTCTAATTCCGATACCCCTCCCAGCCATAAAGGAGGGTAGACAATATTCCTTACCTAGATATGATGTAATCTACTGTACAATGTAGAACATACTTACTTTTATATTACTTACTATCTTAACACAACCTTCCAGGTATCTGACACCTTACAGTAGATATGCCATAAAAGCTTTCACAGACTCCAACACAATTTCTACACAATGTTCTCAGCTTAGGGAAGCCTGATGAAGACAATTTGCTGTTGTGAATGCTACACTATTTTTGTGAAAATAGATGATTGATCTCATCTAAAAACATAAATTTCCCTCGATCTGGGTACTCAGACTACAATAAGTAGTCTAAATAAAGATAGATAGATAGATAGATAAAGAGGGAGGAAAGGAGAGAAATAAAGATAGAAACTTGGACAAAGACAATCCAGCACCCAGATGAGCCTTGCACTGTTCTCCAGCACCCCTCCTCCTGAGCCCTGAGAGATGGGTGCCTGGTGTGCAGCGCTGGTGTGTGACAGCCCTGACAGACGAGGACTGTTCCTGGGTAAGTATCATGTCAGGAGGAGGCGGCGCGCGGCGGTATCAGCCATCATGGTGCCAGCTCTCGCTCTAATGAGGGAGACGGCCGTCTCCTGCTCTCTCCCACGTGTCAGGAATCGCCGACAAATCAGAAGAGCGTCACGCAGGCCACAAATGATACGTTGACAAATGCAGATATTTCACTTTTAATTGACACTAAGAGATGGAGATGATCCCGCTGCCAGGGCTTCTGAGGAGACAATGACATGGAGAGAGAGGGAGGAAGAGAGATAGAGTGAAAATAGAGAAAAATAGGGGAAAGCAGAGATGTAAAGAGCTATAGATAACGAAAGATGTAGGAATACGCTGGAAGGATGTTTAATATTTGTACAGGATGTCATTCTCCCTGTATTCTCCACACGTAGTTGAGGAGGAGAATAAAAGCAGGCTAAGATTAGAAGTGTGTTTCTGAGGCTTGTCAGCCCGTCGTGATAGCCTTGCGTGGGGAAAGTCTGCTCTGCATTGATACAGCAGCATTGAGGCTTACAGCTGATTGACTGTACTGTAACTGTACCAAACCCTGCCAATCATTAACCACTCATTTAGCCAGGTGTGCCTTCAGTACACAAATGTTTGTCACTGCTCTGGCAGACACAGGGTGAATTATGGATTCACTTGATATGGTAAGAACTGCCTGTGTTTATGCTCATAATAGACCCAACAAATATTTGGCTCTTCAGCCGGTAATAACAGGTGTACAGTACTATGTGGTATAGAAATCATGCATTTGATTTCCAGACTTATTGCCTGAGAAGTCTTTAATTGAGCAGTATAGCTGTAAATTCAGATCACTGTGCACAATTACTCAATGAAATACCATTTGGTCTAATTGTTTTCAAAAGACAGATTTCTCAAGTCATATCTTTGGCGCTGACCTGCTGGGACCGTTTATTCATGAGCTGCAATTCCCTTTTCTCACCACTAGAGAGCAAGAGTGAGCTGCAGTACTGAGAAGGAGGGGGACAGAAGGAGAGGAGAATACAGTAAGAATGAATGTGTTTATTCCACATTTTGGGGTTTGCTCATCAGATCAGTTTAAATGGAGAAACCTCACATCCTCCCCAGTTCTCCTGGATAAAGCTGTGGCCCAGAGTGTAGCTCACCCTGTCTCTGGCACCATGCAGACTGCCAGCATCTCTGAAGCTCCACACACACGCACGCACGCACACGCACACGCAGACACACACACACACACAATTAGATATCTAGCTGTCATGCAGACTCTTGGATGTTAAATTGGACTAATGGGTGTGAACTATACAGCCGAATAATGACTCAATTGCATACTGTCTGATCTGTGAAAAACCCTGTCCCTGCTCACCTTAAAGTGTCTACTAGAATTGAAAGCAACCAATACCTCCGGATTCCTTCGAGTTTAGCCTGAATTGTTTGACTTGAGGGTATTTTTCTCACGGAAGCATGAGTTTAAGAGGACAAAGTTTCATGCGGAGGCTTGGGTGTATATTTACTCTGCTGATGAGTATGTCTTAATTGTTAGCATTGATGTAGCACTATGTGAATGGAATGCTAATATGTACCCTAGGGTAGGGCTGATAGAGAGGGAGACATAGCTCATTACTGTAATTAGACCTTCAGGAGAGGAGAGGAGAGCATCCCCTGAACAGCCCAGGAACAGCTCCAGCAACATTCTCTCTCTCTCTAAATCATCATACACCTTATGCATTGCCCTAACCACCCGTAAAACATTGCATCCCAATCGTCCTAAAGTGCCTGAACGGTACAGATCACTCACGCTACATCGTCCAAAATGCCCTTTTCTTACGACTTCATCCACATCACTCTGAGGTTCACAGCTCAAAGGCAGAGATGAGTGTGCCAGCCAGAGTGCCTGGTGGTGACGGGGTGAAGCTGTAGCACCAGACCAGACCCAGAGTGGTAGACAGACCAGAGTTCAGGGGTCACAGCCTCTACACAGAGGTCAACACCAGGGGTCACATCTGGGCCATGCTGGGCCCTAGACCTGTGGCTGGAGGGGTGGGGAGATGGGGGGAGTGGGATAAAAGCCTGGTGCTGATATCTGAACTTGAAACAGGGGGATCTTGGGAGGAGGAGTACAACACAGCTAATTAGGAGAAAGGAGAGGAGAGGAGCTGACAGAGCCCAGCCAAATGGCTCGGTGCCAGCAAACAAAGGCAGCGGCGTGGCGTGGCTTGGAAAGGCATGGCGTGGTATGGGCGCGATGGATGGGGGAGAGCGCTTCATTAAATTCCTACAGGAGCTCAGGAAGGGAGGAAGAGAAGGAGGGCGGGAGGGAGAGAGAGTGTAAGGGAAGTAGGAAGGAGGAAGTTAGCGATGGAAAGTGGAAGGAAGGAGAGAAGGAGGGCGGGAGGGAGAGAGAGTGTAAGGGAAGTAGGAAGGAGGAAGTTAACGATGGAAAGTGGAAGGAAGGAGAAAAGGAGGGCGGGAGGGAGAGAGAGTGTAAGGGAAGTAGGAAGGAGGAAGTTAGCGATGGAAAGTGGAAGGAAGGAGAGAAGGAGGGCGGGAGGGAGAGAGAGTGTAAGGGAAGTAGGAAGGAGGAAGTTAGCGATGGAAAGTGGAAGGAAGGAGAGAAGGAGACAGAGTGAGTGGGAGGGAGGGAGACAGGCATAGAGGGAGGGAGGGAGGGAGGGAGGGAGAGTGGGAGGGAGGGAGGAAGGGAGGGAGGGTGGGTGTGGGTAGTGTAGTAGTAAGCTGAGGCTGGAAGGCCAGTTGAACAAGTCTGTCAGTGTGCTGTGAATACTTCTCTGGTGTGACTGTAAAAAAAAAAAAATCCACCAGCCCAGTCCCATCTGAACGGACCACTGTGTGTGTGTGTGTCTTACATGCATGTGTTATGACTGTAATCAGTTTGGTATTTACGAGGCTAACAGTACATATCTCATATGCAGAAAACTGTTAAATTAGTGACCACATGGATCAGAGCATTGTATCTGATGGCACCTTCATAATTTAAGATTACCCTCCTCCTCAGTCTTTGGTGACATTTTTGTAGTGC